CGCCCCTTGGGGGGGGAGCCGGTGAAGGAAGACGGTTTCTGCTGATTCACACGGTCCTCCCCCAACACTCCCCACATTCCAGAGCCTGAGGAACAGGCTGCAGGAGAGCACGTGAGAAAAAGCAGCCTACAGCCGTGGAACAAGCTCACTTTAATCATGGGAGGCCGCTTAAGCCCAAGCTCATGGCAGCGCTAAGCTGCCCCAGAAATGTGTTTTGAACAGAAACATTACGGGAAGCTTCATGAAGTTCCTCTGTGATCCTAATATGAAGTAATAAGCTGCTCACCCGGCAGGACTAGACTGGGATTAATTGACAGAGCAGGGGAGATTAATTGCTCTTGTTTCCCTGTCAGCTTCGCTCCTCCCCGAGCTCAGACAGAGCAGAATGTGACTTCCCCCCCGATCTCACCGTTACCTCTTGGAACCACCCCAAAGGAGACACGGGGATTTCATAAAGGCAGGAACGAGAACCGCAACCTGCCTCTAACCGCCTGGAAGGACTAACAAACCCCACACAGATGCCACAGAAGGAAAACTCCTGCGCCGTCTCTTCCCACACCAGCTCGTGTCAGCGTTTCTGCCCACGAGCAGGCTCAGGGCCTTGGGAAGATTAGGTAACCCTACAGTTTGGGGAAGCGAAAGGAAATGCCCCGCACCCTGGCCCGCCAAGAGAGGTGCCGGGGCACTGAGGGAAGGAGGCAGCCCTAGAGGCACAACCCGACAGGAATTAGTGTGGAGACATTTCATGAACTTTACAACAATCTGTTGAGAAGAGGCCTGCATCTGCAGGTGCCGTACCGTAGGCTCAGGCCCTGCTAGAGTCTGGAATAAAGTCTACTTCTATAGCCTTGTCTACACGGACTTTTCATTGAGAACCACGTACGGTGTACGTTCACACGGAGGTAGCTTGTGTGGACACAGTCTGGCAGAGGAGCACTGATCTCAGTTCAGCTTTTGTCTCGAGAGGGTTTTAAGCCGAACTGAAGATACGTGTGTTGGAATAAATTGTCCACGTGGGGAGTTGTATTGATCTAATTAAACCAGTATGACTATATTGGCATAATGGGCGCTACAAAATGCCCAGTGCGGACTCAAACATATTGCTACCTGCCACCTCCTGAGAAGAGTTAAAAACTCTCTTGTAGCCTCAAGTCTCAGAGGGGTAGCGGTGTTAGTCGAAATAACTCCTGTTGTTCTGAAATAACAAGGTGAGCATCCTCGCGCAAGCCTGTTAGTTCAAAATTATTTTGAACTAACAGGCTTGTTATTTTGAAATAGTAACCCCTGAATTGACAAGGAGTAATGCCTATTTCGAAATAGGGTTCGTGTGGACGGTCCGCTGCTGTTTCAAAACAGCTACTCCCCTGAGTCATTCAAAGTCATTAATCCCCAGTGCTTCCTGGGGTCTCAGTCAAGGTAGCACATCTCATTAAGGGAGCCTGCCTCGGGCTCATCTCGAGGCTGCCCTGTATGTGGATGTGCTATTTTGGAAATTATCATTTCAAAACAATCTTGTAGTGTGGATGTAGCCTTGGAGCCTAACAGATTTACTAGAGCGTAAGCTTTTGAGGGTAAAACCCACTTCATGAGGTTTTACCTACGAAAGCTTACACCCTAATAAATCTCTAAGGCTGTGTCTACACAGCAGCGTTATGTGGGAATAACTGATGTTATTCTGAAATAACATAGTCCGTGTCCACATGGCAAGCCGTTATTTCGAAATACTGTTGAGCTGGAGAATTTCTTACTCCCACTCCTGTAACCTCATTGTACGAGGCATAAGGGAAGTCGGAGGAAGCGTGCTCTTTCCAGGACATGCTGCCGTGTAGACAGCGCCAAACGCCAAAATAAGCTATTTTGGTTTCAGCTAAGCAATTGACGTAGCTCACGCTGGGTAGCTTATTTCAGCTTTAGCCCTGCTGTGGAGATGTGTCCAAAGGTGCCACAGGACTCCTCGTTGTTTCTGTAGCTTCAAGTTTTTCCTTTCTTAGTGTTACCATACTTGAACTTTCAAAAAAGAGCCCCCCCCCAAGAGGGAGTGTATCTGTATCTGTATCTACCAACTCATGTTGTATTAACGTGTTGTGTAGATTGTATTATATAGCACATTAACGCAACGTGAGTTGGTAGATACTGATACAGATTCGCTCCCTCTCAGGGGTGTCGTCTTGTTTGAACGTTCTAATGTGGTAACCCTACCTTTCTCCCACAAGGTGGCAGCCTTCTAGCATTTCCTGCAGGACACACATTACTCTTGGAGGGCTGGAAGATGCAAGCCGGTTCTGGAGAATGTCTTTCACAGAACTGCCCTTTCTCAGGATCAGGCTGTTCGATCGCAGGGGGAGATGAAAGATAACTGGGAAAGGAGACAAGGTTTTCCTCGGAGATGAGGTGGATTGGCCACAAGGCACCAAAATGAAGGGTCGGGCCACACGAGCGTTTTGCTAGGAGTTAGGAAGGGTGCGATAAAAAACGCAACTTTTTTCTTCGTGAAGACAAGGCCAAAGTGGCACCAGCTGATGCTGCCAGCCGGGGCAGTGACATGGGCCTAGCAAGCCTTTCTGTACTCCTGTTTTTTCTGGTACCTACCAGGCATCTGGGACAGGTGGTGCTCAGAGGGTCTAAGATGCTGCTGAATTTACACCGAACAGTGTTTTAGCAGCACCAGCCTCAGCGACCATCCCTCCACCGCGAAGGGTACAAAAAGGATTGTACTGAGCCTCACAAGGGCCTTGGGCAAGCCAGTCTCACTGTTTCACAGATGGGGAAACTGAGGCACAGCAGGGTTGGCGCAACCTACCCAGGGCCACACAGGGCATCTGCAGCAGAACGCAGGCCCTAGCCTCCCAAGCAAATTCTTCTTCCCTAGCAAGCAGAAAAAGCCGTGCTGTATTTTCTCACCACTCCAAGAACCTCCAATGTACCTAACTAAGAACATTGTGGTCTCCAGACTCCTGGCTCAGCACCCAGAGGGGAGCAGGAGAGGGATCCTCGTGTGATGGGCTGGTGAGCACCTGTCCCAAATGGCTCCCGCTCGTAGGAAATGTCGACCATTCCCACTGCAGCCTCTCGGGGAGAGAAATTCCTGCCTTGGAGCTCTGGCCCCAACCCCCAAAGTGCCTCCTCCTTTGGGGTTCACACGTCGTCCTCCCAAAGCCTGTCTTCCTGCCCGCGGCAGGCCCGCCGAGGGCCCTACAGCGTTGGGCCATACCCGTCTGCCAGCGCCCAAGATGGACGATCCCTTTCACTTCTGGTGCTGGACTCCTTCCCACCGACCCCTTGCCTCGTCAAGTCACAGCACGGCCAATGTGCCCTGGCCCGGGAGTCCAGTCCCCCAGCTCCGCCTGTGCGCTCGGCCCGACTCTGGAAGCCCCAGTCTGGGGTCTCCTCAGCTCGGGTCCCATTCATCTCAGTCCACGCAGCAGCTGCCGGGAGCCAGCGCTAGCCTCCGGTTACGCCCCCCACCCCCCAATGGCAAATCAGCGACTCAACAAGCATCAGCTCCCCTGGCTCGCCCAGTGCCCCCTCCCCCGCCAGCATTACCTGCGTAGCCCGGCAGACAACGGCAAAGGAAGCTGTTCGCCAGGTCCATGCAGCTCCCCCCGTTCTGGCAGGGCTGGGACGCGCACTCGTCCACGTTCACAGAGCAGCTCTCCCCTGCGGAAGGGAACACGCGGCCCCGGGGGGGGGCAGTTAGTTCAGCCAGGCCAAGCCGGGGATGCGCCCGCCCTGTGGGAGGGTGGGGGGAAGGCTGGGCTGACCCCTTCCCCCAAGTCTCTCCCTGGGAGCTTTTGGCCAGAGATGCAAAGTGCCCATTGGAAGTGCCCCTCGGTCCCCGCCTGGCAGGCCGGTATCGCCGCCCCAAGACTAAAGCACCGGAAGGGTAAGTGTTGCGCCCCAGGCCACAAGCCAGCGGCAGACGCGTGATCACAGCCCAGGAAGCCTGCTCTAACCACTAGAGGACACTCCCTCCCATAGCGCCAATGCCCCCCCAAAAGGGCGCTTCCCCTCCCCCCACTCCGGTTCGCTCTCGGAAGCCCACAGAACGGGTTCTCTCTCTCTCGAGCGGCCCTGGAGTCTGGCGCGTGCAGGGAAACAGCAGGCGACCCAACCGGCCCCCTTCTGCCTGCGACGTGCCAGAGGCTGCCTGGGTCTTCCTCACGGGGGTGCCCCCATTCAGACAGTGCAGAGCCAACGTTGGGGTTTTGCACGTGGGAGGGGCCAGCAGGGCTCTCGTCATGCCCCAGCCGCAGGGCACCGTGCAGGAACTCAGAGCCAGGTGGGCCACGGCCTTCCCAACGGGGGGCGCTGGTTACAGGCCGCCTGCCCCCGCAATAGGCACCTCCGCCAAAGGAGAGCCGTGCAGCCAGAGCCCCCTGGCTCCCCCCCTCCTTGTGGCCCAAGCGGGGTAGCTCCCCCCGGGGGCACAGGGCGCTCACCTGAGAAGCCTGGCTGGCACCGGCAGAGGAACCCGGCGGCGTGGCTGTAGCCGAAAGCGGGGGGGAAGTCGGGCTGGGTCCCGTAGTAGGTTCGGTTGGATCGCTCCAGGCACACGCCGCCGTTGTGGCACGGCTGGGAAGCACACGCGTCCACGTCCTCCTCGCAGCGCTGCCCCGCGTAACCTGCCAGGCCAACCGCAGAGCTGGCACCACACGGCCCTTCCCCAGAAGGGAGGCCGCCAGCACCCACAGCCCCAAGGAGGGAGCCGCAGGAGGGGCACCTGCCAGGGACACCGTGGGGTGGGGAGCACAAGGCAGCTGGGTGTGGCGCATGGCACTCGTGTGAGGCTAGAGCCAGTCCACTGACGGTGCCCCAGACAGGCTCACGGGGTGGGGAAGGGCTGGCAGTAGGAAAAGGGGAACCTCCGGCTTTGCAGCTGGACACGTTTCCCAGCTGTGAGCCCTGCATGCCAGTGGCAAACTGGGGGAGCCCGGGACACTGGACTGGAGCACCCCGTGTCCAGCCAGCATGGCTCAGGGCAATGGCAGGTCCCCTCGGCTGCTCTGGAGCCCGACTCGCGGAGAATGGGGCCGTGGCCCTTCTCACCTGGCCAGCAGGCACAGCTGTACTCCCTGACCCCCTCCAGGCAGGTGGCCCCGTTCCAGCAGGGCTGGGAGGCGCACTCCAGGATGTCCAGCTCGCAGTGCGCCCCTTCGAAGCCGGTGTCGCCGCAGTCACACTGGTAGCTGGGGGGACACACAGCCCCACCAGAGCCCTTCAGTCCAGTGGCCCAGCTCTTCCGTGGCAAAAGCAAACAAGCCCGTGGGCCAGCCTGCTAGCCCCCGTGTCCGCCCGGCCGCGTTCCTCCCCCACGGACGGAGATGCGACGGTCCCATCTCCCTCCACAGAGCACCCTTGCTGGAAATCCGTGGCAGCCTCTGTCCCAGCATGCAGCCCAGGCAAGGCCAGGCTCAGAGGCCAAGGGGGGTGGCTGCTTCTGACACTTGTGGTCCTACATTTCAGCTGCAAATAATTCTCCCTGGGACGTGACGGAGCAGCTAGAGGCTGGCCCACGAAACCTTTCCAGGTGCTC